GGTCACTGCTTCAAAATATTGGCGTTTAGGATGGATTTGTCTTTTTTGCTCTGGTGTTTTGATTTTCACAGGATTTAACCTGTTTTAGTTCGAATAAAGGTAATATAAGTCGATTGATAGTTTCTACGGATATCATGCTTGAGTTGTGTGAAGTGGATCGAAATAAAATTTCGAAAATCGTGTTATTTTTAGACAATTTCAATGTCATGGTGTCCTACCTTGTGTTATTATACGAGTGCTAGGGGAATGTACCGGCGACTGACTAACTATGCCGATCCTACTTTGGGTCATTTTTTATTATCCAAGAAACGTTCCGAGCGCCCGAGTCTGTATCATGCTAACCACAGTTCTTTACTACAGCAATTAATAATGACCTAACCACAAAACTACAATTAACAGAATTCAGACACATAAATGTTTCTTCAGTACAAGAACTGTCTCCTTATAGAGAACATTTATTACAGCTCTAGTCTAATCTGAGTGGTATATTTTGAATGAGTTGATTGATCAACAATATTAAAAGTTAGCAAGATTTAATTTCACGATTTGTTTGTTGGCAAAACATGAATATGTTATGGTTCTACAGTACGACTAAGTTTTCAATAACATATTAGGAGGGAATGCAGGTTTAAATTGATATTGGCAGAGGTATTGAGTGAATATTGAGACTAGATGAATGAACCACAAACCAATACACTTATTTTATTAGTAATTGTAAAACATTAGAAAATCAAATTGAAAATGTATTTTTCAACAGTTACAGTAAATATATAATTAGTAAATATTAAATATAATGCTTAGTCGTTTTAGACCCATTTTTAATACCCACGGTAATCACTCAACTTCAGTATTAGCCCAAGGAGTCAAATTAGTGAATATACATGATATTACACAAGATTTACATACTCACCTTTAAATTAAGTGTCGTGTAATATAATTATTATAAGTCACGCTAACTTCCAATGCGATATTTTTCAAATCAATCAACAGTTGTTATGATGAAAATCGACTTGATGTTGATTGATCACAATCACCAAGTGAAATGTCTCAATGTTCTTGACAGCTAATGGCGAAGATACGCGTAAATACAGTAATATCCTTGTTCCTTTATAATAAACTCATCACATTGAGGCGAAGCTGTGTTTAAATAAGGTCTTCAAAACTTCAACCACAGTTATCCATCTGCAAATGTTGTATTATTATGGTTACCGCTGTCCACCATTTTGAACCTGACGAAAAAATTTCAACAGTCCCGGATGTACCCTCTATGGAAATAAGTTTTCATACACACAACAAATGTTTTAAAGTTCTCATTTAAAAATCCGTCTTTCAATTATAATTAAAGTCTATAAGGCAAACAGTATATTGTTCTGCATTCTGTTCTATTTTTATTTGCGTCATTAATAACTGACGGTCCGTTGTATTATCAGTTTAGCGAACGAGGTTGATCGAAGTAGTAACCCTGCGAAGATGGCCGATAACACGGATCCAGATACCGCTTTGATTGAAAACTATCAAGGGTTCTTTCGAGAAGACTTACTGAAGTATCTTGTTTACTCTGTTATAGTTGCAAACGTTCCGAATTGTGTTAGACATAAATTGCAGTTTTGTAGTAGCAACTTCGAAACGATTAACATAATAACAATTAGACTGACCTTTGACCTGTACTAAACGAACTTTAGATGTTCAATATTTTAACCAAAGTATATTTCATTACTATCCATGTTGTGTTAACTTCAATAGATAGTATTTATTTATTTATTTATTTAATGTGAGCCACTTGGTTTAATTGAATTCTAGGAATAAAGTTGCGATTATAACAGGTGGCGCTACAGGAATAGGATTTACAATCGCTGAGGTTTTTATGAGGTAAGAGTTAAATGTTAAAAAGGCATAAATAGCTTCAACCAGAAAAAATGCATTGATAACATTTTTAAACATTGCAGCAGTTATATGTAATGTCAAATGGAGGGTCGTCACCTGTGTACATGCAGGAATTGAGTCCCAAGCCAAGATATAACACATGACAAGTAACCTGTAGAATACTGTGTGGGTAATATTTTTTATATTGATTTTTGTTGCATTTGCAGCAAATAGTTACCAAACAATGAGAAATCTATAGGATTGAATATACCCCACAGCTGGCTTCACATGCATTGTTCATAGTTCATATGGTGCTTACACCAGGATTTAATTACAGCACCTAGGCGGTATGTGGTTACAGCTTAATGTTCGAGTAATCGCAAGAAATTGACATGACAATAGAAATTCATTAAAGACTGCCACTCCCATGCAATTAACAGCGAGTGAAATTCCTGGGATTGAAACATATATTTTGAAGTCACTGATGTAGGCAACGAATAACTGCAAGTTGACATAAAGACGAGGTAGTTTATTTAATCAGTGGTCAACTAGAGGCTGAAATTATAATTAATTTGTTTATTTCAATTTCTCCTGACGTCAAATAGAATACACTGGTGAAACACGGTAGTAACTGTGGGTGAAAGGATGTTTTGGGGTGTAGTTTACATTGTATATGGAGTGGTAGGGTGGGGTGTAATGTGTTCGTTTCCAACTATTATGAAGTCACGTAGAATTTCACTTAATTTATTTTTGCTGACATGTTTTCAA